ATTATTATTGTTTTATTATTTATGTAATTTAAGTACTTTTGTTTAAAAGAATCTTTTTTATTTTAGATTTTAAACAAATTAAACAGGTAGAAGTTCTTACGAATTAGTTTTAGTTAATAGTGTTATAATAGAGAATATTATATCTTGTAGAGAGAGGGAGTTAATATTTTCTACTAAGCTTTTTAATATATCGATAATAAATAATTATTACAACATGATTTTGTTAACATTCAACAGTTAAACGAACACAACAAGCTTAATTCTTCGCATTAACATAATGTAGATCATTGTCAATTACGCATTATACGCATTGCAAAAAAACGAAATGTCACTTACTAAATGTTGACTTACACAAATTTACTGAACATTCTGTATTGGCTTAATTGTTGTTCGCTAATTTATATGTTAATTTTTATAATTTGAACAGACAAGGCAACTGTTGAAAGTTTTTAACTTCAGTTGAAAGTGATTACAATAATCTATTCTATTATTTTTATTAATTACACTTCCACTTGAGAGGATCAGTATAATAAGTTAATAAATCGCCAAAGGTGCTAATAATTGAAGTTGTTGCTAGAATCATGGATGCTTAATTGTAACAAGTAATGTATAGGATTGTAAAAGTCTGAGTTGTGGTCATCATTCAAAACGGTATACGAAATACAAATTCGGATTGTCTGACCTTTGAAATGTGGTTAATGTTTATGGATTCTTCTGCTCTTCGTGAGCACTGGAGCATAAGAAAGTTATTGAAAAGTTATAAACATCTTGTATTACATACGAATGATTTTCTTAATTTTTCACGCATCGATGTATTATTTAATTTTCGTTTGGCGGATGGCGCATTCATCATTACTTTAAAAAAAAAAATTATTATTTTTAAGGAAAAGAAAAAGTCCATAAATATAGTAAAATTATAATGTTATAATGTTATAATTCCATATTTGGAAAATTATTGAAAGCAATATTTCATTACGGGTTCATTTGGATGCAATATCCACCTTGCACGTTGCTAAAACCACCCGCTATTCAAGGGTTTGTTTCGATAGAGTTTAATATCACTGTAAATTTTACAATTGGTTAAAATATCAATGTTTAACACTTAGATCTTGCCTATTCTTTCGAAATACATATGTCTCTCTTTTTTTCTCTCTAACAGATCGTCATCGAACTTGTTTCGCGTTCGGTCGTAACCACGAAGAACACGGGCACGTGACACACGCAGGTCGTGCAGCCGTCACCAGGAGTTGGCTGTGACTGGGTGTTTGATGGGGCTATAAAAGCCTCATGTGAAAGGACATTGTTTGGCTCAGCTGCAAACCAACGTAGTTCTGTACGGAGAATGGGGGATGTTGCCGAAAGGTGCATCTGAATCAACGGTTGATTAGGAAATTAAGTGGCTCATTCTTCTCGCACGCGTGCGTAGATCATGATCGAACGATATCACTTGAATTTGCCTAATCGTTCTTCGATCTGTACGTTCTCCCCGCAAATTCACCTACGGAAATTTCGATTCTGATTTATCTCCGACCACGAATTCTCTTGAAAAACAGTCGAATATTCTCACTTGTGAGAAATATGTGTATACATACATATATGAACATTAATTCTAAAAATTTGAAATTAATAAATTACGATCACACACACAAACACACACACACACACACACACACACACACACACAGAGATACAGATACACGCACGTGATTTGACAGCTATTGTTTGGAGGATAATTCATTTTGACCTGTTCTATTTCCCTTAATCTTCAACCTGGGCCAGCCGAAGAAATTGAAACATATCTTGGAAGCCTAATAGCTGCTTAATGTCTTCTAGAAGTGGTTTACGATTACATAGTACAGGTCTCTAGTACTAATTTTTAATACCGCTTGAGAGTTAGTGCCTCGATTTTTATCTAATTGTTAGAAAAAATGTGACCCTTCTTATAGTTTCCTTCCCGACCCTTTAGTCTCCAGTGAAGATTGAACTGGTGATTCGCGATAATGAAATCTTCGACATTACTGCTTAGATCTTTCTCGACTTGTAAACTTAGGACGCATTAACATTATCACGGAAGCAAACATTTCCGTGAAAAAGCTGTTTAAAAGAGCATTCGATTCTCATTTTCGTTTCATAAAATTGTAATAAATCATGCAGCGAAAGTAAAAATTCAAATCTATAAAATATAATTTGTTAGTTGGAAGGAAGGGGAACCAGAGGAAAGATATCCTTCTTGGTGGATCTCGTCTATGGGTGAAGTGATTCATCTATAGGGTGAATGGTACCGAACCAGGGAATGACACGAGTGTTCACAAGCTGCACCATCCCTTGTACCAACCCCTGTCCTGGTCCCTTGAAACTCAAGCACAAGTGGTCACCGTTCTTTGCTACCAACCGCATATATCGCGTGTCAAAGTTGCGGCAAGTGTTCTCCGAATTCTTCGTATTTTTTGTTTCTAATTATGGAAACTTTTTTTGTAATTTATTAATCATATTGTTTTCTTAATTAGATTGATGCAAAACTTGGCTCGTATAAGATTGCCTTTTGCTGACACGTGGCACTACATCTTTTCCAAAAGAAAGGTAATTTATTAATGTAAAATACATTGAATAAAAAGTGTAAATGATTTAATTGTCTTATATTTTGGCGTTGACAATGTCATAATTTGATATTCGTGATAATGTCTTACATTTCGTTGTTTCGTTCTATATGTCGATATATTGTTTCTAGAAAGTCTCTTAGATAAATTTTAGTTTTTGCCCTCATCCGAACTTTCACCGAGGGTCCCACCCTCTCGTTGTCTCTTTCTAAAATCAGGGTGCATTGAAAGAACCGCGAGCCAGCCAGCGAACAAGTGTTCCACCGTGACCAATGAGCCCTTGCACGCATGTGCGCGCTTCCCAATGCGATATTAATATCGCGATTATCATCTACGTATTATCGCTCATCCCCTGATTCGATGCTCAAAATAAGTCTGTAAGATACATCCTGTTTGGCTTGTGCTGCTGTTGCTCGCAATTTTTCAGCAATATTTCATTTACGTTGTGATAAATTCATTCAATTCAATTCAGTTCAAATACTTTATTCATTATTTGCTTTATTTTCGTTACGTTATATTTATTTTGATGATCTTAACTTTACGTAGAAAAACTTCTTGCAACCGGAGAGTTAAGCATTTCTTTTTTCTCTTTTATATTAATAGATATTGAACAACGGGTTTTTCCATATACTTCTGTTTTCAATGCATCGTCCATACAAGTTGTCCTAATTGTATTTAGAAGTTCCTATATCATTCCCAGATCATTATGTACAATTTCATTGGATAAGAAAAGTCTTTTGATTTCAAGTTTCAGGTTGCGTGGAAAGCGCAGATTCGATCCCTTCGATGTGCAGAGACGTGACAAATCTTATTGTTTGACGCCCTTTTGCGAGATTCTATATAATCTAACAACGTTAGACGTCGCAGGGCGAAGACTGAGTTATGGTTGGCTTTGCGGGGAAGTGACTATAAAGGTGATTCGTTTCGGTTCTGCAAGTGTCAAAAGTATGCTTTTAATAGCTCTTCCAACGAGATACTGACCTATTATAGGCTATTGTAACATTTAATATTTTTTCTTACTAATTTTTTCGTTAGCTTATGGATTTAATATAAAAATAACAACGAGCCCATGTAAAGGAATGCCACGATACAGTTGAAACTTCGTTGCTTCGGTCACGTGTCTTCGACATATTGCTCGTGTCTCTCAATGCTGAGTGTTCTGTAACGCGACACGTGCCGATCGAATACCCTGTAACAACATTACAGAGGATGCTTCACCCCACGTTCGTATTCTCTCTATTTAACCATTATATCCCATTTAACCATTAGACATCGTTTACTTGATTTTAAGAGTCAATTCATTCGATGAGTTGCACGCAAGCAAATACGTGAAGTTTGATCAAGTCGCTATTTCAATTACAGCATCAAGTTTTCTCTGGATCGAGTAAAAGTGTTTTTACGAAAAATATCTCCCCTCAGCTTACTTGCAGTTAATTGACAATTCTGCAAATCGTACAGATCATTGTAAAAGGAATGTTCGCGTACGAAGGTGTGTTCCACGAATTGGTAGATAAAAGACTCGCGTAGAAATGCAGGTGGCATGGGTCACATGGTGGAAGCTGCGTAGAGCTCACCCTGACTGATCAGACCACCGTATTCCCTTCTTGAATCTCCCTAAAAACACGACTCACTTGGCACATGAGTTTTGTGCATATAATGCACGGTATCGAGACAATTCTTCCCTCTCCCAACTCCGCTTAATTTAATCCAATACAATATGGCCCCCCTCACCTTGTCGCCAGAAAGGGTGCGCGGTTTAAGAGGGTGGGTGGCTTTTTAAAACTGTGCCGATCTCAATTCACCGTGAAACCTCATCCTATTATGATCGATCTAATCCTGATTGAGCCCGACAGGTTTTTTACTTTCGCGGTGTACCGACGAATCTTATCTCGTTTCCAGAGAGAACACGATTGAATTCTCCTTTTCTTCTTTCTGGAGTTCCGTATGTATTTTTTCTTTTCAAATATGAATAAATTTTATGGAAGAAACCAGGTGTATTAAATGACTTGTAGAAATCAACAACTGTTTCAAACAAGTGTTTCCTATAGGTATGTGTACCGATACATCGCAGCAATCGGGCTTAGATTCTGAGATATTCGCTCTGAAAATTACAGTCAATTAAACTCATAAATTCTAACGATGACGAATTATTCTAACGTGTTGATTATTCTTGTGACTCTGTCGCAAGTAGGCAATAGGATTCAATGTTTCCTACTAGTTTTTTGCAAATGTCTCGAAAACTAAGCCAGCAAAGTTGATTTCTACATGTTTAAAAGTCATTGAAACTAGAAAGGAAGTAGCTTTTTTTTTATAACAAAGCTGCATAAATATCCATAGTCTGCACAGCATATAATATTAAAAAAAAAAACAGAATTTAATTTTCTACATGCATAGATATGTTCGTGTTCGTGGTTCTTTTTAATAAATATTAGAAGAATAAATTTTATAATTCAGAAACTTTAGTAACGGAATAAAGTCTGGCGACGGTCAGACATTATCTTGTCTGGCATGAATAGTACTACTTGTCCTACGATTTAGATCTTGACTTATTAGGTCTAGATTGGACTATAAATCTACCTGTTTTGTATAAAATAATGCCACAA